GTGGTTTCATGTGAAACGCTCCATTCTAGAGAGTCAGAATTGTTCACAGTGGTGGTGATAGGAACCAGATTTCTAAAGCAGTTAATGCATGTAAAAGCTCTCCCAAGGAAAGTTATTACACAAAATGGTTATGAATACAATGCCTGAGGAGTTGTTTTATGATAGTTTTGAGATACGGTTTTGGCCTAAAACAATTGTTTAATTTATTCCTGGCAGAGATTTACCTTCAGGACTTTGTAAGGCAAAATAGTCCTTATCATTATTACAGTGAAATCAAGACACATGTAATTTCACTATTTTTTTGGATAGTATATAAAATGGCTATATTTGCGTTGTAAGCATTGTGACTCCTTGTTCTGATCGCTACCACTGTGAAGAAACAATAATAATAATAATTATTATTATTATTATTATAACTGTAATGAAATAAATATGTAATAATAATGATAAATATAGCCGCAAGCGGCAATGAGCGGGTTCAAGCATGCAACAGCAGCATGGGCCCTTCTGCAGGTTTAGCCCATTAGGTCTAAAAAGGCCTCAAGCTTTTGGTTTAGCCCATTAGGCCTAAAAAGGCCTCAAGCTTTTCGTTTAGCCCATTAGACCTAAAAAGGCCTCAAGCTATGGGTCTTATTCATAGGCAGAGTGAATAGAACTGATAGGAAGTCAGTTCATCAAAAGGCCTTCAGTTGCCATAAACAAGAAGCAGTGGTGTTTTAAACACATTATAGGTTTGCATTCATATGTACTGATCTACACTGCTTTGTAGAACATCCAAAAAGTTGCACTTGCACAGTGCATTGGTTCTATATTTAAGCCATTGATTTCTTGTAGGCCATAATGAGGCCCAATTCACTCATAAGAGCCCCTATTGGTGTGAGGAGCTCAGTGAAAGTGGGTCAGAATTAGTGAAAAGGCCACAGTATGGTATCATTCTTGATCAGGGACCATATCCAAAGACGTTCACTAAGTTTTGGTCAGAATGACCTTTTGACCTTTGTATAATAAGCCTTTGTATAGTGAAATCTTTGAATGAATAAGCCAAAATAAAAGACAAGCAGTGCAATTTTTGACATAACATGTAATTCGAAAGTTGTTCATGTGAGTGAACTGAGTCACTTGGCACCAATTGTTTATATGTCGACCTTGTAATAACATTGTAATAGCATTTTAATTGATTTTTAAGTGTTTTGGAGTGCTAAAGCGCCCCCTAAAGGCCTATCTGGACCAAAATACATGGCATACAGTGGCATACACCATTCAAGTCTAAAGATGTAAATATCCCTAAAGTTTGGAGATGATCTGACCAATGACTGTTGAGTTATAGCAAATCAAGCTAGCAATGCCATGTTTGCACTAATTAATTGTTTGATCCTCAATACACTGAGTGGAACAGTCCAGATGTTTTTGATAATTCTTGAGGATCAGTGTCTTCTGAATCTTATGGTACTAATTTGATGAAAATTGGCAAAAAATGTCTCTATCTCACTCTGATCAAAAGTTACAGGCAAAAATATGAGTAAAGTTGAAAAAGATGAAAAATAGAAACATAGGACTAAAGTAAAGTATGAGCTCAGTGAAAGTGGGTCAGAATTAGTGAAAAGGCCACAATATGGTATGATTCTTGATCAGGGACCATATCCAAAGATGTTTACCAAGTTTTGGTCAGATTGACCTTTTGACCTTTGTATAATAAGCCTTCGTATAATGTAGTCTTCGAATGAATAAGCCAAAATACAAGACAAACAGTACAATTTGTGACAGAACATGTATTTGGAAAGTTGTTCATGTGAGTGACCCAAGTCGTATGGCACCATTTGTTTATCTGTCGACCTTGTAATAACATTGTAATAGCATTTTAATAGATTTTTAAGTGTTTTTGAGTGCTAAAGCGCCCCCTAAAGGCCAATCTGGACCAAAATTGGCAGACACCGTTATAGTCCAAATATGTAAAGGTTCTTAAAGTTTGGACAGGATCTGACCAATGCCTGTTGAGTTATAGCTAATCAAGCTAACAATGCCATGGTCACAGTAATTAATTGATTGAGCCACACAACCCTGAGTAGAAAAGTCAAAATGTTTTTGATAATTATTTACCTAGAGATGCCAAAGAATTTTTGAAGACCAAGTTCAAGAAGATTGGATCAAAATCCAGGGACTAGTAGGTAGGATTTTTAAACAGTTACCGATTACAAAAAAAACTATGAACTTTTGTAATAAATATGCATTTGCAAAATTGTTCGGAATAACATACTACATATGATACACAAGGATGTTCAAGCAAACTTGTAATAAAATAGTAACATGTAATAATGTTTTTATAATTTTTATGAATAGCGCCCCCCAGTGGTCAATTTTTTTTCAAACTTTATTGATTGTTAGACAGTTGCTATATGTAGAGGTCATTCAAGTTTCATGATGATTGGTCAATGTTAAGCCTGTCAAAAGCCTGCTAAATGCTGATTGGCCGATGGTGACCATATACTTCAATTAATCAAATTGTCCTTATGGATTCACTTATAGTCTGGCCAACTGATGGTATCTGCAAAGTTTCAGCCTGATTGGATGTACGGATGCTGAGAAAAAGCCATGTAGCATTAACTCCGCCCCCTAATGACATATGCGCACAAAAATCGAATGGCTAGCTCAGAATCTTCTCCCAAATGTGTCTGTCAAGTTTGAAATTTTTTGGCTGAAGGGTTGTCAAGTTACAGAATTTTAAATTAATTCTGAATTATTTTGAATTTATCCAGAAGGGTTAATTTGCATATGACAGCCATGTTTAGAAAAGTCAAAATGTTTTTGATAATTTTTGACGTTCAGGCTCTTCTGAATTTTTTGACACCAAAAACTTGAGGATTGGGCAAAAATCGTAGGACTAGTTCGCAATGTTTCGCATATTATGCAAATTAGCTCAAGATCTAGGTAGGGCGGAGCTAAATGGTCCAAATGGCAAAGTTGTTTGTTTGGACCCAAGGAACTTGGAAAAAAATATGTCTTTTCTGGCAAAAATCTGGTTTAGGAGTTATAGATCCAAACGCGTTGACCTGCGCTATAACGCCCCCTTGTGGCCGACTGGGCTGATTCCTTGTGCCTGAGTAGCGGGAGGGACTACTACCTATTGACCAAGTTTCAAGTCTCTAGGACTTATGGTTTGGGCTGTGCGTTCCGTTTCAGGGAAGAAAAGGAATAGGAAGAAAAATCTTGACAATTACAATAGGGTTCAATGCATTGCATGCCTAATAATAATACTTTTAATTTATCCTTTCTCAAATCCAAAATCTGAGTTAGTAGCTTTCTTTACAATGAACTGTTTTGCATCAAAACACTCTAAACGACTTTGTTTCCATCTCAGTAGTTGAATTATATAGAAAATTTCCTCTTAAATATTTTGGGATACAGTTGGAAGAACCCAGGCTTTTCCTGACTTCTCACTGCACTCCAGCAAACACATGGATTTGTTAAATTTTGTCAGGACTGATAAGATAAAGTAGATATTGAATGGTAACTGTAGATACTGGATATGATTAAGCTAACACTCTGACACTCAAAGCACAATGTATAGTTAATTAGTTTATTTTTGAACAAATCAACACTTATGGCCTGGATAGATCATTTTCTCAGACTTTTGTGCAGTACTGGATGTGTGAGCTGAGGGCTGGTTTGGATTGTGACATAGCAGGATACCTGCTCTGTGGCCATTGTACAGAGTCCATGACAGCTGTGCTCTGCTCTTTGAGAGCTTGTAATAAAGAGAGGGTTAAAGGACTGCAGCATCATAGCTTATGCAAAGTCAAAGCAGGAGAGCAGATGGCCATTTGCTTATCGATGTTCCCAAGCAGTGCACTGTCTTTAAAACTGGACATACACACATACCTATTTGATTTGATTGTTTATTGATTTTTACCCAGACATAACCATCCCCATGTTGCTTGAAAGTGATAAGTTGGCCAGAAATCAATTGATAAAACATACTGTTTTTAAAAAGTGGACAAAAGTAAAGACAACATTAAAATAGCCCATATCCTTTTTTCCCCTCTGAGCTCCACTTACAGTGTTTGTGTGGTTTTATGTAGTGAAAACAGTCCTAATTAATTTTAGACGATCATTTTCAAACCTTTCTTCATCGCTTAGAATTTAGCAGGCTGTTTTGTTATTGTGGTAAACACGCTCTGTCCTGATTGGCTGCATTGTATTGAGCCTCATTCAAATGGCGATCTGTGCTGAAACACTCCTTATAACTTAATGGGATTGGGTGAAGCTGAAGTGCTGTAAGCTAAATTTGAGGAAATATGTAAATGTGTGACGTCACAAAAACATTGAATTCCAAACAGTTTGTTTTTGCACCTTGGAACTGGAGAGTGAATGGTACAATTTGCAGCTTTAGTTCCGTTTATATATATCATCAAAACAAACACTTCCTTAAAATAAATAAAAAAAGAAAATTCATTTGTTCTGGACCCCTTAAGCTTTTAGATAACAGACACTGATTTTTTTTTTTCAACTGTACATCATACTTTTATTTGTTAATGTAGGTAACAGCGTACAGTGTCAGAAACCACATAAGCAAGCCTGTTTGAGATTACTTAGCAGCTCAACACGGTTTGAGACTGTGTGCTGATTTAATGGCCATTAGCTTCTATTACTCTTTAGCTACATTGGCCCTGTAGTGCCAGTGCAAAACCAAAGAAGTGAACTTAAGCCACCAAACATGTCCTGGCTGATCAACCACATTTGGGGTCAGGGGAAAATTGTGTACATTCTGTTTCTGACCGTAAGGGTGGATGTTTTAACCTGAGTAACTGCGGTGCTGCAATGATTGAAGGATATGTCCCAGCTGATCCACATGCACTTTTGATCTATACCCATACTCCCTCTGGTCTGAGCGCGCGAGTGTTCATGTGGCTGACCCGCATGACCCTGCTGATCTGTACTGTGCTGTTGGTGTGTTTGTGTGCAGAAGCTGAGAGAGGCGGGTCTGGAGGTGCCTGAGGTGGGAGGCAAGACCAAGGCCAGTGCTGAAGAAGAGAACAAGACTCTGAAGGGAGAGGTCAGGCAGCTGAAGGACGAGCTTGACGCCACCAGGAAAGGTATGATTCACACCCCCTCAGACACATCATCAGCAGAAAAAAATGATGAGTGAAGGGTAATGGATTCACACACACATGCAGTGTAATGATGAAGGGTGTGATGCAGATGTCAGGTGCTGTTAATAAGGAGAGGTCAAACACAGTCAACACGCACAGGCACACTACTGCTGCATTGTTAGCGACAAAAGATGTTCGATTTCCTTTGGGAATATTCATATCTTTAATGTTTTATTTGTCATACTGCGTGCTACATTTAACTAGAGCTTCAAATATTAATAAATGTTAATAAACATTTTATAAATTTGGTCACACAGTATTAGGAAATGGAAAAGGTTTTTCAGTAAGGTGCAACGGTTTATCAAAATTTTGTTTATGAATCTAAATCACCAGAAGAGTGTAGTAACATAGTAGTATCTAAAGAGAGCAAGAATAAACTTTACTCTGTGTGTGTGTGTGTGTGTGTGTGTCTGTGTGTGTGTATTCTATACTATGTTTTCTCTGTATCCTGCAGCTCTGTTGAGCACTGACATATATAATTAGTTTTGTGTCAGTAGGTCAAGTGATAAGTTGAGTGTCCAATGCAACCAACACTACACTGTCACACCAAGCTGGAGGCAAGAGCAACCCTGAGAGTCTTTAGGTTTTAGTTAGGCTTTAAGAAAGATGTTGACCCCAGCCCATGACCTACATGCCGGACAAGAAGGAAGCTGTTCTCCAATAACTGTACATTTACACTCTGAGTGCACTTTGTGCTGCTGAGTGGGAGAAGGCAGAGTGCGCACTGATCATGCAAGAATAAACGCTCAAAAACAAACACACATCATAGAGCCTTCTATTCAGAATTTCTGGCACAACCCTGGATGTGTATCAGACCCTGTTTCTCTGGGAGACGTGCACACGTACACCACATGGCTGTGTTTGGCCTGGGCACTCTGGGGGTTCATGGGCTGTTGGCATAGCATGTTGTGTACTGTCTAATTTTGGACACCAGGCTCTGTGGCTGGAACAGGTCTGTGCTCAGCCCTGACCCACAGACCTCATTTCTCTCATCCAGTGCTTATTGGTCAGTGTAACTGGTCATCTTGTTCCCAGGAATGTTTTCTTTACATGCTAACCACAAATTTGCTTACGCCCTTGGATATTCTGCCAGTTTCAATTAATATGATTGCTCTGTTTACAGACTCTGCGCCAATAAAAAAAAAAAAGCAAAAAAAAAGAGAATCTTCAGGAAATCCTGTGGGCCGTGGCTTGTACGTCGTTTACCATTGGTCCTTTTTGATGAAGGGATCATTTTATTGCCAAAATTGCCCTCCTTGATATTTGCCCAGTTAGAAAATCGATCAAAATTAGTAACTGAATAATAAACCTACATTTTAAAGTGCAGTGGCCCCAAAATGTATTTGAACACCATGTTGAACCAACTGGCATTGATTGTAACCAACCCAAAACTGTGATTTTCTTTCTGATAATGTTTTCTTTGAAAGGTGGCTGAGTTGTTTATCATTTGATTGGTTGAGCGGTTCCTTTGCAGACTTCTGCAGGTTTGCAACCACAAAGTTTTGTACACTTCTGAGAAAACAAGCTCAGCCACACCATAATAAGAATTATCCCCAGACTTTGATGTTTCCACCTTTGTGCTTTACAGAAGCCTTACAGGGGTACAGTTCTTGTCCAGATTTTCTCCACACAAGGAGTCTACAGTTTGATGAACCATAAAGAACTTCATTAAAGTTTACTAATGGTTAAAGTGGTCAAAGTGTCTGAATACTGTTTGAGGCTACTATAGTTTGGGAGCTGGAATACAACAAAAACCGTATATTGGTTGATGTCTGCATCAGGAGTTTTAATAGAAACGCTGCTGTCATCACAGTGGAAAAAAACGTTGTTTGTTTAGGCGGCCGTTTGTTACTGATGGCTATAAATAGACATCTTGTATTTTTGACCTATTTGTTTTTTGTGTCTTTGTTTGTGCAGCTCTTCAAAAGTCAGACAGTGATGTGAAGGCCATGAAGAAACAAGCTGAGAATCTAACAGTGGAGTATGATCGTCTGCTGGAGGAGCATGCCAAACTGCAGGTAAGCACATTGTTGGGAACATAACTGTTAGGTTAGGTTTATGTTATGGCAGAATTGGATTGTATTCATGGAAGTCACCAAGTCACTCTGGCTAAAGTGGGAGTGGCCAAAGCTTTAAAGGTTTCCAAGAATTAAATATGCCCCATTCAGATCTAGTGCACTCTGGTCTTCAGGACCTTAGACTTGCATTCTGTGACATTAACTGAAGGTTTTGAAGGCTGCAAAGCCACAAATGAGAGGACACAGGCAAATCATTTTAAATGAAAATTTAGTTAGTCCCTGGTCACATTAAGCATGATTAATCATATAATTTAGAAGACAAAATTCTTGTTTTCCTGTAATCTTCCATCATAATATACTGTCTTTTGCCCTGCCTCTAAAACATCTTTAGTGTTTTGATTACATCACCACGCACCAGCAGGTGGGGCAAAATAATATTAAACAATAGTATCAAGTTTCTCCAAATCCATTCACCATCCTCACCTGTCATCAAGAGAAAATGCTCAACCAGCTCAAAGAATCTTGTTGATACTGCGGTTCACTCCAGTTTCTCTCAAGGTACAAAAGCATAATGTTTTCAGATTCACATTGTCTTTATAATGGAATTAAAAGAAACAGCCATTGTCTGTGAAAAATACAAAATCATGACACATGAATTGTCATTGCTTCCAATGGCTCCACTTTCCATTTTAATTTTCTGAATTTAGGCTAATTCCTCCAGTGTTGGGAGGTAAAGTTACAGTAATGTAGCTCACATCACAATTGAAATTTTTGTAATCAAAATACTGTTAATAGTTACTCAAATGTTTTAATACTCATGTCTTTTTTAGAGAACAGTATTCATTATACACAATGCTTTAAAAACATAAATTTCGTCTGTACAGACTGTCTGTGACCGTTCTTGTACATTATTTGTGTGTACAGGCGCTTCCTGCAATAGCTGACTGCATGACTCTGTGAGTCTCAACTAAATAGGCTAGACTTGATTCTCATTCAGAAAGAGCTCTGTGATCTATTCAGTCTATTCAGGATTATTATATTTCCATGCCGCTGTTTCTGAAGTGTGTCTACTTGCTAGTGATGTTTACCGTGATTAGCTATTTATAAAGTACTAAGAATGATTACTGCGTTTCCATTGTACAGTTGGGACAAAATTGTATGAGTTGGAGAGGAACATAGAAGTAGAGAGTATTTTTCTCAGAAGTAATGAGTAATAAAGTTTCGTTACCGTTTGAGAGAAGTAATTAGTTATTTGCAATAGATCACTTTTTTGAGTCACTACCCAAATTGGAATTCATCTGAAGTCTGCAACTCTTTTTACCTCATGGACTGGATGAATTAGATCCAGATTAGATAGTCCAACGGCCCTTTGGACTTTCTTGGTAATGTGCCGAGTCCATGCGTATGCTGGATTTAGATTGGCCAATAGAAAAAGTGGAATAGAAGTGGAATACTTGAGACAGCACAAAATAGACTGGACTTGCAACTACAGACTGGATTGGACAGGCTGTGGTCCAGAGAACATTTGGTCCCTTTGGTATTGTTTTCAGCTTTGAGGTAAGCCAGAGCCTCTGTGGCTATCCTCTGTGGCTATCCACTTTGGCCTAGTTGCACCATATGTAAGACCACATACTTACACTAAGTAGGGTCAGGTTAGTGAAGGGTCAAGTGGAGATATAGTTTAGTTGGTAGGTTAGGCCTAAATATGACCACAGACATTGAATTAATTTGTTTTTTCCATAATTACCCCACATAAATGTATCACCATACTCCTACATTCTCTTTAACCTAATGCGTGTATAAGAACTCCTTAGACATGGTCTGGTGTCATCAAAAATATGGGAACTGACTCGCTCCTGTGACAACTCTCTTTTTCTAAGAAACAATGTGTTGCACAATAATTCAGATGTTGTCACATAATGTGAAGCAACACTTTTAAATTTGTGGAATGTTGATCAATATTGGTCGCAAGGTGGGCATGTGTGTGTGAACATGGGCTGTGAGTCTTCATATCATCTTTGCTCTAAGTGTGGTAAACATCTCAACTGGACTGCATGACTTGATAGCATAAACAACCAGGCATTTCCCACTAAGAGCCAAGCCTAAATTTTAGCTCCTGCATTCTCCAAATGCCTAAACGTGAGATTCCCGGCAACGCGGTAACTGTGGCCAGGGGGTGAATGAATCACAGTTGATGTTAAAAATTAATCACTCATATTGGAAAGATTGTGATCTCCATGACCTTTTTGTGTTTAAAAGCAGAATTGAATGTCCCATCAACAGTTGTTCCAGTACAAGCAGGGTGGCTTAGGAAGCTTCCTACTGCTCAGTTTATTTACACAGTGTTTCTGGATGCTGGATAGCTTGGCTTTCTTCGACATTACACAGATATATAATGGAGAATATAAAGAATGCATTGACACTACAGATTTCTGTGCTCTAGGAGTTAGTACTGAGCTCAGTGTTTCATGGTTTGGCTTTTTATGTTATTCTTTCATGCTAGGCAGTATTAAAGGACCCATGTCACGCAAAACCCAGTTTGGTGTCACATGTGAGCATACCTTTCACTCCCCAGTACATACAGCCCTTATATGCTGAAACTGAGCTGTGAAAACAGCTTATTTTAACCTTTTCAACTGCTTGAGATCACCGGTGGTTCCAAAACGCACTTCGTCATATTTCATAAGCTACATGCAAAAGGTGGGTGTCGTATGATCTGTAACTGTCTTCTTTCCAGTCAAATAGATGGGTGATGTAATTTTAAACACTTATAATAACAGAAGCTGAACAAATTTTTAGTCTACTGAAAGTCGACCGATTTTTCCATTTTATAGTTTATTTTGGGCTATAAACTATAAACAGATGGCGTCTCTTCAGTGATCTGCTCTGTAAAAACTGTTTTTTATAAAAAATTACAAAGAGCGTAATTTTTGGCTTTCAGCAGTAAATTGTAAGCATGTAGCAGTATGTGTATGATCATAAAACATGTTCTGTTAATTTGAGGGGAGCTTTTACAAAAAATGAATAAATAAATAAAATAAAAAATTACATTTATTTCATGCAGTTACTGAATAATTTGCCTTACGATTTAGTCATGTAAATTCAGATGGACAAACCAAAATATGCCCTGGTCAATAAGAGGTTAAATGCACTATTTCTCAGTTGTCACAAAAACTACATATAACACAAACAGCCTGCAGCAGTTTCACACTGAAGTTATAAGGAGTGCTGTGACAATATTTCTCACTGTCGGATGACATTTAAGTCAGCATTAAAAAGTTAGTGGACCCTTGTGCCCTGCGTGCTGCTGCTTTGTGGTATTCTCTAATCTGACGTAGCATGTTTTGACAGAACTGTTCTGTATTTGTTCTGTGTTGCTTGTCTTAAAATTACACTGAAGAGAACCTTACACAGTAATGTAACGGTTAACCAGACTGGAAACCAGATTTCTCGGAAGGGAACTTCTGTTTAAAAATAATTGAAAGTGGAGAGCACTACTGGTAAAAGTGAACCTCCTTGGCACTCTGTGTTGCACTGTGGACAGCAGAGCTCGTAACATGTTCTGGCTATTAGTCTTCATTGGGGACAGAAAGGATTCAGTGATTTTGTTCTGCTCTTTCAAGCCAGGGTGCTGCACACAGCAAAAGATGTAGGTTGCAGTATTTGCAGATGTCTGCAAGTATCAAAAACTGAAAATCACTACTGCTGTGTTACACCCAGAGGGCCCTATAGGCCTTCAGAAAAGGCCCAATCATTTCTGGGAGCTAAAAAATGCATGTATGTAATTTTAGTTACTTGTTATTCGATAGAGTCAAGCAGGTATTTGAACTCTGAAAGTTTTACAGTACTACTCTTGTTTCACTGTTAAATTCGAGAGAAACAAACGGTTAAATTCTCGAAACATCCAGCGGAACGCTGGCCGTGGTATCCATGTAGATTTAGCACAGCAAGCTCCACTATTGGTTAAGACTTTAAGAGCTGAAAGAATCCTAAGATGTATGATTAACTATCAGCATAATTACAAAATGAGAGATGAATCAACCAATCATGTTTTGATTTCCAGTATGAAAGACCTGTCTAGGGCTGTGCATTGGCGAGAACCTGGCAATACGATATGTATCACAGTACAGGGATTACGTTTCAGTATATTGCGATACTGTAAGCAAGGCGATATATTTAAAATCTGACATTGTAATTTGTTTGTTATAATATGTCACAAGCTTCAAGTAAAACATGGAATGTCCATTAGAATCCCAGATGTCTGTGCTTAATCCAGAACTGCCATTTTCCAAATTTTCCATCACACCTTAACCTCTTGAATGGCCAGGTCCAAAGTTTTATTACACATTTCTTTGACCGAAAAATAGCTCAGCCAGTTTGCTTAGAAGTGCCTGTATTTACTGAATAGTAAGGCTTAGTATGTAATAAGACTGGGATTTTAAGGGGTAAAATGGTGCAGTTATATTATGGCGTACATAGGCACCAGTATGTAACTGCTGCAGCATTTAAGGTGAAAGCGTTCATGTAAATTGCCTTTAGCTTAGCACTAACGAAAGTTAACATTATCATAGATGATTTTTTTTTTCCCCCTAATTTTTTGACTGACTTTTGACATTTCTGACCCAAGTGGAATGTCTACCTGTAATAGTCCTGGTTTGCTACTGGTTAGACCCATAACAGGATAGCACTATAGACATTTATATACTAAATATTATATTTGTTATTGACTTTGTATTGATTTGCTAGTTTCCGGTCTTGAACCAGTAGAATAATATGCTCTGCTCCAACTCCCAGTACTCCTCAGCCTGCTCACCAGACTGCAGGCAGTTCATTACCTGGCTCAGGTGTTTTGGGAGCTGGAACAGAACAAAGGCATAGAAGAGCCTGGGGGCCTCCTGAGACTGAACTAGTGTAACGTTGTTGAAATTACATGTAGTCGAGTAGTAAAAACTTAATGGCTGTAGTTTTTAAAGGTTAAACCAGCCACAGCAAAGGATATTTGACGTCATGTCTTTCAGCCCTCAGGACACACAACAGAGCGAGGTCTCGCTGCACATGTTCAGCTTTCAGCTTGGCACTGCTTCACCTGAGAGAGCTGCAGCAATGAAGTTTGTGAATGAAGTAGGCCTGAACAATAAAGGCCTGAACAATAAAGCATGCATTTTCGTCTATATTGAGAATCTGTTCCTCAGTCTAGGATTACCAGCAAAGGCTTGAACTGTGAACAATGATTATTTCAGTACATGAACTGGCAATATCTCTCTTTTACTTTTCCTTTAAGAGCTAGGGATCTAAAAATGTGTCAGTTCATTATGGATCAGCATTATGAAGTTGGCAATTCAGCTGCATTCATTTTGATAATAATTTTATCAATTATAATTAATTATAGAGATGTGTAATAAAGTGTGCACTCATTTAATTTGGCATCATTTTCATTAAGATGTAAAAATGTTAAAGTATTTTTATCTGTTGTTGGTTGAATAGCTCCTGCTGTCACAGGACAATTTTTAAAAAAAATAATCCTCATTTGTAGCAAAATAGTTACTTGTTAAATATGATGAAATTTGTAATTTTATGATACGTTATTACCTAAAGAATCATACTCGAATGGAATTATGATGTTAGAGATTTACGTTGTTGTAGTTTTTTGAAATTTTCATTTTTATTTTTATGTAGTTTTTCATTTTAATTTTTAATTTCAGTTTACTTTCAGTTAGTCTTAAGGGTACATTAATAGTTTTAGTTCTGAAAAGTGATACGTTTAGTAATAGATTTAGTTTTAGTTTTTAGTCTTATGATGAGCACTGTCATAAGCCTGGCTTGGCTCCAGCCTTCCTTAAAGACAGCCAAACACAGATGGCATCCACTTCTAAACTCTCATTCAGCACTGGGGAAAAAAAAAAAAAATCTAGTGTTTCTCAATAGTTCTGTTTTATTGTAGTTAGTTTTGCAGTGAACATCATAATTTTGATCTAGTTTTTGTGTTTTCACTTAACAAGCACATTTTCTCACTGCTAGTGTTCCCTTTAGTAATAGTCTGTTAACTATAATAACCCTGATGTTTATGTACTGCTGTTTGTAGGAGTCTTTATTTTAGCGCTGTTGTGTGAAGACTGTTGTAGTACATCTGAGGGCAGTAGTGTACAGCCCTATACAGCACACAGTGCAGATTCTCAGAATTTCTTTCTCTTTTTCCTTGAACTTGGTGCACCTGCTATAGACTCTTCTTGTAGCCGTTACGGTTTTATCACGTGTTACAGCGGTTCTCCAAAAGGGCTGTGGGAGTGGGTGTGTAAAAATAAGTGTAAGTGCATGTGAGGTTGAGGGGACTCCTCTCATGTAGACCACCAGGCTGTAAATCTTTTGCCCAAATTAGAAGGTCATCCTTAAGTGTGCTTTAAGGTTGCTGAGTGTGTGTTCCTGCTAGTGAAATGCATACATGTCGTCAGGGTGATGTCAACATAGACAGACGGAGGGAAATAAGACCCCTCGGCCTTTTTAAAAGACCACGTGTATTTTTACCTTGTGTATTAAGTAACATGTTACGTTGAATGTTTGCGTTGTTGTAGGTACTGAAGCATACTTGCAAATCAAAACAGGATTCTGCATGTTTGTCGTCTGCTCAGTGATGAGTGCCCTCATTCTTCAAAGACGACTGCGCGGAAACTGCTCTGCTTTGTGAAATGCTGTGGTGGGTTGAAATGAGTGATTTCTGTACAAGTGATGAATCAGCTTCAGCTGCGTGAAAGCATGCACACACGCACTACTGCCTTTTGTGCTTATCATTTGTAAACGACACTCCCCAGTTTCCCTCAAGCAAGTGTAATCTACCAGAACACACCAATTCACGCAGGTGTCTTAAAGGTGAGCTGATGAAGGAAGAGCATTCAACAGGCTCATGAGGCAATAAAACACCCTAGTCACAAAATATTCTTACATGTGCAGTGGTGAAGCTTTGTTAGTGAAATTTGCAAACCCTCAGTTTATGATCAGATTTGACCACAGGCAGCTTTGATTAATGAGGGCCAGTGCTTGAAATAGAGCTTAAAATATTGGACTGCTCATATCGGGTTTGGCATCACTTCCCAAATACTAATGTTGAACTCAGGTCCGGTAAGGGTCAGGTTCAGATTTCACGTTTGGTTTCTCAGGGCCCATCACCCACTTTTTAACGGGTTTAACCCTGCTTTTCAGTCTGCTTCAGTTTTTCTTCTGGCTTTAGACTTCCTTCCTACTTTCATTAACTTAGAGCAGTTTTTAATCTGGCATGCTGGAGTCACCTACCCGGGTCTTATGAAAACACCAACAGCACTGTTGGTGCTATTGCACCTTAAATTGACCAGGGTATATTTTGGTTTTTCCATCTGAATTTACAGGACCAAATCGTAAGGCAAATTATTCAGTAGCTGCATGAAATAAATGTAAATTTTTATTTTTTTATTTATTTTTTTTTTGTAAAATCGCCCAAAATAACAGAACGTGTTTTATGATCATACACATTGCTATGTACTTACAATTTACTGCCGAAAGCCAAAAATCTTAGACATTCTTTGTATTATTTTATAAAAATAATTTTTACAGAGCAGATCACTGAAGAGACACCATCTGTTTATAGTTTATAGCCCAGATTTTTTGGAAAAATGGGTCGACTTTCAGTAGACTAAAAAATTGTGAGTTCAGCTTCTTTTATTATAAGTGTTTAATATTACATTACCTGTCTATTTCACTGGAAAGAAGACAGTTACAGCTCTCATATGACACCCACCTTTTGAATGTAGCTCATGAAATATGAAAGTTATGAAGAATATGACATGTGCATTTTGGAACCACCGGTGGTCTAAAGGAGTTGAAAAGGTTAAGCGTGCAGCATTGAGAAATGTTTGTTTATTTGAGCTCGAGCTGAGTCTGTCAGTGGGCAGCTACTGAGTATTGAGGAAGAAAGAAAGCTAAGCAGCCAATTTGGCCACTGTAGGCTTGTACTTTAATAGCTGTGTTCAATGAACAGAAAAAGGAAACTCCCTCATGGCAATTATTTATATGGCAATTGATCTACCGATAAAATGTCATGATTGTAGCAGGCCTACTTTGGGTGACGGGCCGCTTCAGGTCAGTTTCAGGCAGATTTTGGCTCGGATCAGTTTCAGATTTAAAACTTGGTGTGGTTCAGATCGGGCATGGACAGAAACTTTTTGGGCTGTGTTAGAGTTCAGACCAAAAATTCAGGTCCTATTACAGCTGTACAGTTCTGCATAGATGTTTCTGTTCATCTCTGACAACAAAATCAGCACCAAAAACAGGTGAAATGCATCATAAGTAAATTTATCAGTGAGTATTTTTGTTTGAACTGTTAAAGTTGCTCTCATTGTGAAAGGCAGCTGCTGTCTTATGTATGCATTTCTTTCTGCCTGTGCAATTCCAAACAAGTCCACTGGGACTTTGTCCTTCTATATAATGCTGGTTCTTGGAAAGCGAGCTTGTGAAGTTACATAATCCAAGGAGCTGTTTAGATTAATTATCCCACAGACGTTTTTACAAGTAACTTTTATTGTTTCTTAATGTTTTTAAAAACTGTCGTGTCAGTATGTCTAAAAACCTTTACCTGGAAATCTGTTAAATTTTAGGTGTTTCATTTTGGACTTGTTGACCTCAGTTTGTGTGTGTGCGTTCGTTCGTTCTCTCCAGGCGAAACTCGACTCTGAACAAGACAAGAAGTCAGACTGAACCAGTTACTGTCACACATCTGTCTGCTTCACTCTTCCTCCTCAACGCCAGGTCCACGCATCACTTCCGGCTGCTGGATTTTATCATACAGGATTTGAGAGCATTCCTGTGTGCTTTACTTGTAATAATACTGCATTTGGTGAAATAGCAAATGTGTTTTGTTTTGGTTGTTTTGGTTTTTTTGTTTGTTTTTCTTCCTTTTTTCTTGATCATAAAGTAGCTCACTGTCACATGACTTGTTTTTTCTTTTTCTCCTGAATGTGAAAAAGTGGTCTTCACTGATTTTTTCTATGCTTTAAATGTTTTTGCAGCTCTTCATAATGTTTAGCGTTTAAATAGATGGACCAAGAAATATCTGTGGAAAGTTGAATATCAGCATAGTGTTTACTGTATACATATCAAAATTAAATTATGGAATGGAAACGAGGGTGAAATATGTGGGTTTCAGTGTTTGGTACTGGTTAATTTTGGAGGAGTTTGTGGATTTAGAATCTTCTCCACTTTCCAGTGGCCATCTGGTACTGTACACTTCCAGTAAGCACTAAAGAAAGTTCACCCAGGTCACTTTCATGTTCCCAACCTTCATTTACTTTCTTCCTTTTTTTTTTTTGCCAGAACCCCTCACTGTAGGAAAATATCACCTATGTTATTGTTCTCTGCTGGGATTACTTTCTTTCTTACATTGTAAAAGTAGAACAGAGTGGACAAGCTTATTCCAGCCGTGGCTGGTTTATTCCACTGAGTCAGTATAATGTGATATGAATCAGGCCCTGCTGCAATCAAGCGGACTGGCAGTGTCTTTGCACGAACGGTCAAGCATCCGCAGCCTAGGTTGCATTTCAAAACACTGAGGTTGCCTTTGAGTTTCAAGTTTCCCATTCGATAGAGAGACCGTTTAGTGTAATCTTGGTGGTACCTCCCAAGTACAGGTGCCAGCGGCTGCTTGTAATTTACCCGGTTGCAGATCAATAGCCATTGTAGGGCCTATACAGTAATAAAGGATGGAAAAAGCAACAGATGGTGCTAAGCTGCCTTGGCTTTGCTGGCCTTGTAAACGAATAGCTCAACACAGCGTTAGAGTGGTGATGCTTGACACTCGTCAGTTGATCGTTGGAGAGTGTAAGGAGCCCTCAGCCTGTACTCATGACTAAAGATTTGTGGCTGTCCAGTTAAAAATAGAGGCTCGTTGTAAAGCAGTGAAGGAAAGCTTGGGGCACACGCGGAGGTATTCTAGAACATGAGGGTGATATAGTTCATAGTTCTGTGAATGTTCAGCTACACCAAGCATGCGAGGTATTTTTTTTTTTTCTCCTACATTAACCATAGTTCACCATTTGGGTTGTTCTGAGAATGCATCCGGCTGAAATATTGTACTGTACTAGGCACTTAATGTATGTGTAAGGACTTGAGGGTATATTCAGGGTTGGTGAAAATTGTATTAACTTGGAAGATGGGGGTCATATTGGATTTGAAATATGTTCTTTTGATGAAGGGTGTCTCCCTGATGTCTGGGATCTAGTTAAGAAATAAATGTACATGCCGCATGACACGCTTGGAATGTTTAGTTAGGATGTTTTTCTGCTTTGCTTGTTCATCTTCTGCATTACCAAATGTAGCAGTGAAGTGCCAGAGAAGTGCTCAGTCTTTGTCCTCATTGCATATTTCATATTTCATCATCAACCTGCAGGAAAAGACACATTACTGTTCTGATTGCCTATAATGGCACATCTAAACTGTCCATTAAGACTTCAGACCAATTTTGTGCTGTGTTTCTGAAATCATTCTGGCTGATTTACTAGCAGTAGTTTTGTCACTCAGTACTCTGCATGCTGCAGTTTATCACCGGTTCCATGTTTGGTAATGTGCTTCAAGTGAGAAGTTGATAAACTACTTCCATTAAAGTCTCCGTTAATACTCTTAATCATTGTTAATAGTTATTTTCATGTCAATAAAATGTCTGCCTTGCTTGCAACAACTTAAGCAACCTGTCATATTGCAACTTTGTTAAATACACCAGGATTATACCATGTACGAGATCAGGAACAAGCAGTTTCTGGAGCACTACAGCACTCTGAGGGTTTTCACCAGTGTTTTTCACTGTCTTATATACCAAATCCAGCTCTAATTAAACAGTGCTGTGCAAATGTCAGAGTCCACCCTTCATTTATTTCAATTCAAGTCAGATCGGTCATCAAGTTCACATTATTCATTTTCAGGAGGTATTTCTGAGAAGGTTGGGTATGACGTTGAGATACAGAGAAGAAAACCATGCAAGAACTAAAGACACATCAGTCTTTTCTATAATCGTAGTATGGAAATACTAAACAGTATAGTAGTTGGTAAAGTATGGAAATGCTAAAAAGTGTAGTAGTTGGTTAGATATGGAAATACTAAACAGAGTAGTAGTTGGTAAAGTATGGCGAAGTATGGAAATACTAAGCAGTGCTGTAGTTGGTAAAGTATGAAAATACCAAATGTAGTAGTTGGTAAAGTATGGAAATACTAAACAGTATAGTAGTTGGTAAACTGGTACAAAGCAATGGAAATACTTAACAGTAATAGTAAACTATAGTACTGAAGAGATATAAATACTATAGACATTAACCTGAGTAGTAGTTGAGAAACTATGGTACTAACCTATGGAAATATTTAACAGTGTAGTAGTTAGTAAACTGGTACTAAAGTATAAGAATACTAAAAACTATACTAGTTGGTAAATTATGGCACTAAACTATTGAACTATTAAACAGTATGGTAGTTGGTAAACTATGGTACTCAACTGGTAAACTATGGAAATACTTAACAGCATAGTTGTTGGTCAACTCTGGAAATGCTAAACAATGTAGTAGTTAGTAAACTCATACTAAACTGAAAATGCTAAACCGTGTTGTAGTTTATAAACTATGATACTAAACTGTGAAAAAATAAGTAGAGTAGTTGTTGGTAAGCTATGGCACTAAGCTGTTGAAATACTAAATAATTGTATTCCTTAACCATGACCAACAGCTGCTGTAATAAATTGTATCATGTGCTTAAAAGGATTATCCATACTTTGATTGCAGAGAGCACTGAAACAATTACCTTTATTGTTATGCTCCATTACCACAGTGTTCACTTTATTATATATGAAAAAAGAATACTGTGTGCTTCTCTTCCACAAGCAAAAGTCATAACAATCAGTCCTATAAAAGAAAAATTATTTGGAAAAAGCAACCAGTGGGAAATGAACATCAGTGATAGCAGACAATTTTCTCTTGAATCAGAGATTCTTATCTTAATCTTTCGTGCTGTACCTGTGTGCAAAACACAGTGCAGTGATAAGATGTGCTGAATGTTCATGTGCATGTCGATAACCCCGAGTAGTAATGTTATTGTCCTCTATCTGTGGCCTTCTGTGGTGGATAGATTGTAAACTAAATGTAGGTCATTTAATGAGGTTAAAACGCTTCAAGGAGGTTCACACACTCCAACCTGTTTACTCATTCAACCCACATTCTGGAATCGTAAGAACTTGGCCTGAATATTTAACCTGAAGCCTTATCTCACAGCCCACAGTTCGGGCCCCCGGCCTCGCAGTCTTTACGGTCCTCGGAGAGCTGACTTTCTGAAGGGTTTTGTGCTTCTGATCTATCAGTAGATCTAGTGAAGTCTAAGCTCCACCAACAGAAAGTCAGAAGACTCCGTTTCCCAGCTTGATTCTTTGTCATTTATTCCACTGGCACAGGAGGAATGGAACCACGTCTCAGGTGGTTTGAGCCAGGCCTTTCTTCAGCGTGCTATTTGGCTATTTGAAATGGAAAATTGATTTTGACCTGCAGAAACCAAGGATGAAGCACCCGAGCTCTGTGTGTGTGTCATTGTGTTGGAAAAATGAGTCAGCTTTCAGCAGTTAAATCAACCACAGTGAATCAACAAGAGAAAGAAGAGCCAGGCATGAGAATACAAATACATATTAACACTTGCCTCATTCATTTAGCATCAAGCTGCTTCTGGAAGCTCATTTTCATACTTCACAGGTCAAAACAGACTGCATGTAATGTGGAGCCTCACAGCTGGAGCAATAGTATGAACTACTAAGGGCCTCTACACTCTCACAAATAAAGGTATGAAACCATCACTGGGGCAGTTCCCCTCTTGTCACTGGGGTGGGACCCTCAAGGGTACATCTCAGTACCTTTAGACTCCACACACCCCGTCTCGTCTCCAGACTTTTTATTTTATTGTTCCGTTATAAAACATTAGGTTCTAAAAAAGGTACCAATACAGACTTTTCATTGGGAAAAAAACTTATTTAAGGTCCACAATTAGACCTTAAATCCACTGTTGTAACTTTGAGGGAAGATTTACATTGTTTATACCTTGATGAACGAAAAATGTACCTGCAGAGAACCTTAATTTCTAACAGCGCAGGTGGGGCTGGGATAAAAAAAAATCTGTTGCGCAGGTTTTAATTTCTGAGTAGTTAGTGAAATAAATAAGTTGATACTGACTTTTGCAAAAAAATGGACCCCTTGCTCTCCCCTTATTGAGACACAAATGGTGCAATCTGCACTTTCAGTAGTACCTAGTTACATTTACACGGTTAAATATGCTTAAGTAACATTTTAATGGATTTGTGCTTTCCTGAGTATTTTCAAATGACATTACATTTACATTTTTTTTTCCCTGATTTTCCACTGACTTTCACCTTCCTTATGGTAGTAGATTGTCTTATATCTAAATGATACCAGTAAATGACACTGGTATTGTATATTTATGTTGTTTACATGCACATATATTTATATTTTTAGAGTCATATATATATATATATACATATATATATATATATATGTTTTTTTTTTCTTTTTTATATTTTTTTGTATCTAAAAACTACAAGGGGGCTACACACCTAAGATTTTTACTCACCTACTACATACCTGTGTAAAGGTGATGTGACAGTAAAAGTGATTTGATTCGATTTGATAATATCTTTACAGGTATATTTGTGACGAAAGTAATCTACTACTGTGCAAAAGTCGAAGACCACCCCTACATTATTTAATCCCTAAGTCAAGCTGACATTAAGAAGAATTATTCATTATTTACTGCGAGGAGTAAAAAAAAGGCAAAAAACATATTTAACATTGGCCCCAACAACTACATATATAATTTGTATAGTATTTAATGTGCCCACTCTGCCTTTTTTACAGCTTCCATTCTTTTTAGGAGACTCACTTCTCAAAGAAATCATTTTCTCCCAAAACAGTGATGTTGAAGTCTGGACTCTGGACTTCCTCTGGACAATTTTGAACACTTGACTTTCCCCTTCATTAGTGGACTATTGTATATAGAATCTCATCAGAAATCTCTCCTGAAAATGAATAATGTACTTAATGGCTGTTTTGATTTGGAAATAAAATAAACAAAGGGTTTTTGACTTTTGCACAGTGTTGCACATACAAACTTCAGTTCTTTCACTGATGAAGCTGGATGTATGAATAGGTTCCTCTGCAGCTCTTATTTAAGATTTTTTGTGCCGCTGTGACTCAGATTCACTTTGGAAAGCTACTTTTACCACCATTTGAGTCATTACTCAACAGAAGTGACGATACTTTTACTTGAACATAAGTTTAGGATACTCCACCCGCCTGTGAAAGGAGCTGTGGTGACTGCTGCTCATAGAAAGCACACATGAAAACAAATTTATTAAGGAATACAGTAGGGCTGCATTATTATTCATCACCTCCAAAATGTTAACTTTATCAGAGCAGGTAAAAACGCTCTTTAATGTGAGTTAATGGACTGAGATTTCACTCCAAGCAATTTTGGACTTCATTGATTATGTAAAGGGCAGCTGGAATTTTCACATTGTGTTAAAAAATGCATGTGAGGTTTAGTTATAACAGTAATGATATGTAGTTGATGTCATTATTATTTACAAACAACAAGAGATTCGAAGGGAGCCCACAAATGGTGCATTTGCACAGTGGCCCAGAAATTTGTGGAATGGTCCTGCCAACTGTAACATCTTGTGAAAGAACTCCATTCACTTACAGTATTCCGGATAGGAATGTTTCACTGGCAATTATCCCAGTGTGGAAAGTTTACTCAATGCAACATATCACTCAGTTATAGAACTGCCTCCTACCGAGTCTTTCAAAGTCCTTCCTGGACTGGAGCCCAGTTGCCACTGCAACCCAACCAAACCGAATACTTTGGCACAGTCATGATGTTCTGTCTTATCTCTCTTTCTTATCTCCTCTCTCTGTATGATTAACTTCAAAACTTGATATGGTGCAAATCTTCTGCAAAACCAGAAGATGACCAGTGGACATGATCAGACATGCACGTGTGCACTGTGCAGCATGTTTGGATTGTGTCACTGGCCTGATGGAGTCAGCATTAGAAGAAGAGTCAGCTGTTGTCCAGCGATCCACAGAGGGTCAGAAATAGAGCAGAAACTGGCAGGCTAAACATAGCCAACAGGCTTCGGTGGAGCACTGCCCTCGCTTAATATGGCAGCTGCCCTCTTCCTGACAAACTGAGCCTTTCGTCAGTAAAACCAGTTTGAACCGCATCAGCATAATAGTCGGCCCTTACACTGTACCCCTCCTGGTGGGCTCATGACAACTGCGCGGTCAGGGAAGTTAAGGAGAGCAGTTGGACAATGCATGGTATACTGTAAGAGTTGAGCCAGACACATTAAATCATGGTTTTATTAGCATTTTTCCAAGTTCTAAAAGATTTCAAATGTAGTTGGCCTTGTAAACAAAGTTCATTTTAAAAGTATACCGTGGTATGCAAAAGTTTAAACACCACCCATCAAATGACACTAGTGACATTTTAGTGCACAATTTCTATTTATTTGCTGAGTTTAACATAATATAATGTTAAATATAAAATGCGCCATAACTTGCCATATTTCATGTTTTATTTTTTTCCCCAGGATGTTAAATTAAGCATATAAACAGTAATTATGCATTAAAGTGTGCAGAAGTTTT